TTTACCTCCGAGCAACTCGGGAAAAAATGGCGTCCCGGTTTGTATCCATGACAAGCGAAGAAATCACTCAAATCAATTTTTGGTGGTGTATATTATCTCACTGTTTTAGTATATACTAAAACAACTATTCACCTCAGTGTCGGTGGTTAGCGGTGGATATTTACCTCTCCGCTTCGCGGCTCGGTAAATATCCACCACTAACCACCTCCACTTCTGTGAATAGTTGTTAACTATTTTGATAGACCACCGAATCCAATCAAATGATGTTCGAAGACATTTATAGCAGCTAGGAGGGAGAATTTCCAATCATGTCATGGGATTGAGGAGCCTCTCCAGCTGGAAATCTTCGGCCAAACCTTTGCATTATGGGTATTGCCTGTACGATTATTCGATTCTTATTTTGTTTTCACTATTGTGATGAATTTACTGCATTTACTCAATGCTCCCATACACACAGCTAGAAGTGTTGCTATCGTTATGCACTCACTCATTCTCTTTTCTTCTCCATGAAAAACAGCTGAACTCTGGGAAAGATAAATGCGTCACCAAACCAGTTCTTGTCAACACGCTCAGTTGGCCTCGATCTGAAGTAGTAACCATTCCCAAGGAATTGTGGGAACGCTTATCAGCAAAAGAACAGTCGTCACTGAAAACGCAGATATCACAAGAAGGAGAAAACCTCCGTAAGAATATCAAAACGCCATGCGCCACGAAGGATGAAACGCCAAGAATACCGAGACAGTCAAATCTATTTGATTTTATATTCAACAACAATTTTAATGCTGCGGGACCGATTTTATTTGCTTTCAAGCGTTGAAAAAGATCTCCTCTAGCCGTTTGCATCGAACTCAGTCGTGAAAATTTTTTTGAAGGTTTTTATTTTATTGACCAGTACCCCTCTGGGGTTATTCCTTTCCCTTGACCAATGCCTTTCTACCATGGGTCAAAAGAGGAACTAGGTTAAAATTCTAACTACTTTTTTCCCCGCTGTGCCTTCATTTTTCCCCTCCCCCCCCCCCTCGTGAATTCTGTAACTTGTTTCTATTCATGTCGCTTACTATTCATCTTGTTTCAGTTTTGGTTTCTGTTTCAAGCACAAGCATATCCAACGCAGTTGAAACAACGACCGTGTTCCATCCAGTTTCTGTGTCATTTGACAAGGTGAGGGCAAAATCAGTGTGGAAATTTTTCTACATTGCAGATCCTTGAAGAACGTGTCTCCGTGGTCAATTCAGTGTCGTAAATCTAAAACCAAAGTAATTGTTGTTGTAGATCGCTACGCGTTATTTTTTGTCTATTGTTTCTTGTGCAGTAGTGCTAATTGTAGTTAAGTTTTGGGTACGCTTTCTTTGTGTCATTACGTAACGTAGCATGTACTTAAAACGTATTGTTCATCGTAGTTTGTGCAGTTTTTTCCAGTGTAGTTTTGTCAAGTGTAGTTTGTATATTCGTTCTTTACGCTTCGTGCAGCTTGTTCGCCACTAGGCAGGATTCACAACATCGCAACAAATGTAAGTTTGTATTATGCAGTTTTCATCGTCGTTTTCTTTGTAGCTTCCTTGGGTATTTAGTGTAGTTTATATTACAATAGGTTTTCGTTTGCTGTTTTATTTGCAGTTTTAACCGTGTTGTTTCGTATCGTGTCGTTTCGCTGTGTTAAAATCGTGCTTGTTAGAATTAGTCGCCCGTGGCAGTAATAGTTGTCATGAATGGTGACTAACCATGTAAAATCAAAACCTTTCATCAAAAATTCTTTGCAACACTAATAGCACAAGCAAATCCGAACGAAAGTAAATATAACCAGGGACCAACGAGATTTCCAGCAAAAACGAGCAAACGGCGTAAAGCGCGGGAAAACGCGCGTTAACATGACAAGCTTGGAAATATTTACAGTCAACTATATTTACAGTCAACTAGTAAAGATGTGTTTATTACTTCAATCCTAAAATGAGATTTTAACTTCGAAAAGTTGTCTCCTTGTGTGAAACATGGCAGGTTAATGCTAGCTTTGCAGTTTAACTTGAGCATAGTTGCCCAAGTGTAAAGCTGTTTTGTTTACAAAGGGAGTAAGTTTCTGAAGAAACTAGTGCTGCGTCGGTGGGGAAATATAACAAGATAATTTGGTTTTATCAACTGTGTTCATAATGTAGATTGGCTACCGTAAAGAGTTTAAAAGCCTAACTCTTTACGGTGGCCAAGTTACATCATCAACTCAGTTGATTAAACCAAATTAACTTGTTTTGTTTATAGTTTTTTTTATTATGTTTATGTTTCAGACACAGGGATCTTTCACGTTGGAAAACGCATTGATTCGAGTTGAATTGGTCCGAGGGGGTCTGGTAAGAAGTCTTGTACACAAGGCGAGTGGCAGGTAAGGGTCGACGTAAGTGCAATGAAGATAGTTGCTCATATCTTTCATTCATTAAAGTTTAACGGTTTATCTTGGAATTTGGCACGAAATAACCTCGCGAAGTGACCGCGCCAACGTTTTTTAATTTTTTTTTTTACATTTTTTAGGGAGGCTATCAGCCCAGGGTATTCTGGAAACCAGTTTATTCTGTTTGACGATGTTCCATTGTTTTGGGATGCTTGGGATGTGATGCCATATTACTTGGAAACGAGGTTTGTTAAAGGAATTGAACGAGAAAAAAATGGCCCAATTATTATCCTACCCAAAAATCGATTATTCGTTCTCACACTCTTTTATATTCATAATACTGTAATACTGAACGAACTAATACCAGAAAAATGACAATGTTATGGTGACAGGAAGGGCAATATGTCCGGGATGGAGAATGGAGACGAAGTTCAAACATGAATTTCAAACTGGAACTGCGATGAGGGCCGTTGTCCTTTAGAGTAGGACGTCATGTAAGACTAAATGCTATGTTCCGAGCCCCACTGATCGGTGCGAACCATTTTCCATAGAACTGTGAATACATACAGTAAAGTGCGTGTAAAAGAGGCTGGTTGTAAGAAAGTTCACAAAGGAACCAGTGGACAATCAGACATGGTTTGATGCTACTCTGGTTTAAACATTTAATGAATATAACCGTGGAATTAAATTTTTAAACCAGAGTAGCATCAAACCAGGTCTGAGATGCTGGATGTACGCAAATGAATTTTCAGTTTTGTTGGAATCGTCACACTGATTCTTGCTCTCCTTGATGACTTCTCTGGAACGAAAAATCTTTCTTTTCCAATTGGAACAGGAAACTATTGCTTCCAACATCCTCTGAAGAGTTCAAGATTATGGAGGAAGGGCCGCTTAGAGTCTCAGTCGAGGTGGATATAATGTTTGTTAATTACACATGCTTACCAGTATTGAACACCTTGTTTTAAAAGAACGTTAGACACCAAATTCAAATGTTTCATTGGCTTACGTTGATATAGACTGCGTTCAATATTGTCCGATATAGAGTGGTTCTTAGGGATTTTGAATACTAGTGGCCAATTTGTGATTTTGAATACTAGTGGCCGATTTGTGATTTTGAATACTAGTGGCCGATTTGTGATTTTGAATACTACTGGCCGATTTGTGATTTTGAATACTAGTGGCCGATTTGTGATTTTGGACACTAGTTGCCGATTTTTTCAGTGCAATATAAATTGTGATATATCAATAGTTGCATGCAGTCCTAGACTCCAATCTTTTAGGCTTACTGTATGCCTTTGTATGGTGTTTTCTTTTATAGTTTTCTATAAGGATCAGCGAACGCAGTTCTTTGAGGCAAACGGTATCTTTGGATGCTGACTTACCATATGTTAAATTCCACACAAAGGTAAATCTCTTGGAAAATTGAGGCATCTAAAGAGATTGAGTGAAGCATAGTACCGTAATTAAGAAATCATGTGTTCGAAACAGAAAAAATTTTCATATTTCACTATTATTTTGTCATTAAATGTGATTTTTTAGCTCCTTATAGAAATAAAAAATAAAAAAATTCGCAATCTTTGAGAAATGCTATGCTCCATATAAACAAAACTACAGACGAGTACAAAAAGACGCGAAAACAAATGATCAGAATTAGTCGGTAATACCTTAATGTGCAGCTTCGCACTGTATTATGTTTTGGTAGAGAAGGATTTTAGAACACTGCATAACGGAAATAAATTTGTTTACCCAACTGGTTGACATATTTTGGTCATTAGCGTCTTCTTTGCATTTCACAGTGATAGAGAGGTGGAGTACAAGTGTCAAATGTACATTTAAAAACCTTCTGCAAATGTATTCCATCATTACAGGTTGAATGGCACGAGAATCGAAAGTTTCTTAAGGTGGAATTTCCAGTGGATGTTCACTCGATGAACGCGACTTACGAGATTCAGTTTGGTCACTTACAACGGCCTACGCATTGCAATACTTCTTGGGACTGGGCCAAGTACGAGGTAAGCAAATCTATCGGTCTGTGTGTCTGTCAGACTCAGTCTGTCCGACTGCTAGACCATTTGCCTGAGCTGTCTTTTTGCTAGGGAACAAAACCTTGTGTGAGTAACAATTGAAAATAAGGGTCATTCGGCCCTCGAAAATTTTTTGTTATACTAATGCAAGTTTTGAAGGAGACGTAGTGGCGACAAAATTCGACAAAGTGCTCTGGGGAAACTTATGACGGATTAGAATTCCGTCCGTAGGAGTTACAACATCATTAGTTGCTTTTTGTTTGTGGAAACGAATTAGGTCGGGTACAGTGAGCCAGAGTGGAGGCGCGGTGGCCTCATGGTTAGTGCGCTCGACTCCGGATCGAGTGGTCCGGGTTCGAGCCCCGGCCGGGACATTGTGTTGTGTTCTTAGGCAAGACACTTTACTCTCTCAGCGCCTCTCTTCACCCAGGTGTATAAATGGGTACCGGCAATTTAATGCTGGGGGGTAACTCTGCGATGGACTAGCATCCCATCCAGGGGGGAGTAGATATACTCCTAGTCGCTTCAGCATCTTACCGGCCATACGCATCTTACCGACCATACGTAGGTCTGCAAGAGTAACAAGATCATGCCACACCAGTAATGCTACTATCTATACTACTAAGAGATGTAGAACTTTAACTTACTAGCGTTCATTTTTTATACGTGGAAGCAGGATCTGGAATTCTCTACCTACCTACATTAGAGACAATTCTCTTTCATTTGTTTAATTTAAAAATCAACTTTTTGATTATTACACAAATGCTCTCTTGAACATATACAACCCGGACAATCCTAGAACATGGAAATCTGTTTGTCCTAAATGTAATATGGCCCGACCCCTTGTCAAAGATATTGATTGCTGTTTTTAATTATTAAGTTCAATTTTTTTTGTAATTTAGTATTTCTTTCTGGGACCACTGTAATTGGTTATGCAGGTGTGGCCTCCCTGCCCCATATTTGTTCAATGGTGCGAAGTTTAATAAATCATAAATCCCGTAAACACCCACACAACCCACAATTCCTCCATTCGCTCTGACGAAGGGCTAGCGCTCGAAAAGTCAGCTTTGTAACTCTTTACTGTGACAATTTACATATTATTATCATTTCGAGGTAATTTTTTATATACATCATTCCGACAATCACAGTATGAATATTTTTGGATACCAAGGCGTGCTTTTCAGCAGATTTACTAACGGCTACTCAGTGATGTTGTGAACGTTATTAACAGGTCTGTGGTCAAAAGTGGGTTGACTTGTCCGAGCACGAATGGGGCGTGGCACTCTTGACTAACTGCAAGTATGGCTATTCTACTCATGGCAACGTCATGTACATCTCACTGTAAGTTCACTGTGCTTTCTCTTTATCTGGCTAAAGGTGCTACGTCGTCAAAACTCGGAGTTGTCATTCGCAAAAATTCCGAGCGTTATTCCATAGTCTCGGCGGGACGTATCTCGTGTGATGCCAATCTAAAATTTCTCCCACACCTCAGGGGATGGTTGTTCGAATCTGATAAATGCTGATTCTGGACAGACTTCATTTGGGAGTTGTACATTGTAATAGGTGTTAAATCCTCATCATTAAGCGAAAAAACCGAGAAAGTCGGATCAGGATTTTTATTCCATTGATTAAAGTGTCTCTCCTTATTTAGCGCATTTTCCAACCTTTTCCAGTTGATTTACTTCCTGTCGGCAACTTTCTACAAACTTTTGATTTTCACTGACCTTATTTGGTAGGCTTCGTGCTCCTAAAGCCCCGGATGAGGAAGCTGATATGGGATCGCACGAGTTCTCTTATGCAGTTTATCCCCATACAGGTAGGTCTTCGTTGATTTCGGACCTGGTCAACTTTTTAAGATCTCATTAGTTTCATAAATATTATAAGATGTTTCTGTCTTTTTCCTTCCATTTTAAGGTACATTTCAAAGTGCTGGTGTCATTCAGCAGGCTTACAACTTCAATCAGCCAATCTCCGTTACACCTGGTTCTGTTTGTCAGGGTGAGTGAGAAATGCTTGGATTTTTCGTGTTCAAAGAAGCGCTTGAAATCCAGTTGTCAATAAACCCTTTTTGCTACTGCAGTACGAGCTCAGGCCGCCAAGACTCCTCAGGTAAACCCGAAGGAACAAGTCGCGATTGTTTTTCAGTAGTTTCTGATCTGATTGGTGCTGTGAGAGGATGGCGTGAGATTTCTGAACCAATCACAAAGCAAAGTTAAGTAAAACCAAAGAAATCCTGTATAATTTCGACACTAAATGAAAAATAGCTCTTTTGCAAAATATTCTAAACCTGTTTTAGGGGATACTTGCAATACTCCCGCAAGATTCTTCTTAAACAGCTTTTATTGTGGGTGTATTTTGAAAAAAAATTTAGGTATTTGATGATTGATTCTTCCGAATACTGATAACTTGCATTTTTTTTTTTTGTGATATTTGGTCCTTTTTATAGGATTTAAGGAAAGATCCTTCTTTCACGTTGACAATCCAGCCGTGATACTGGAAACAGTGAAAAAGGTAAGTAAGTTGTGCGACGTACTGAAAGAGATTAACATCCTATCCTGTTGATTCTTATTTCATGAATACAGAAAATCGTGGCTTTCCATATACGGGCTTTGCGTGATACCACAGAGGCTCGCAACTTGCTCACCATGGCAACAGTATACATAAAGAATATTAGAAGTCGCTAACTTCGGGTCAACCGGGTCTAACACGAGGTCAACTAACTGGCTCTTTAACCGCGCTTTAAGAAACGCTATTTTTAATCCTGTTTGAACAAACCCGCGGTTAGGAAGTTTAACCTGAGGTTAGCCCTAACCTGCGGTTAGTTTAGTTTAACCCGTCTTTTGAACAACCGGGCCCTCGCAGTTAAGTTCTTTTGACTTTTTGGTGTCTCAGAGATAGCCAAGGTAAAAAAGAGGAATAAATAGATAAGTAAATAAATAAACGAAAATGCCTACAGATAACTAGAAAAGCAAATAAATCATGTGATTCTTATTTGTCCTGACAGGCGGAATCAATTTCATCAGCAGCGGTTGTTCGACTCTACGAGGCATTTGGAGGTCACGTTCGTGTCAGACTCACCACCAGTCTCCCGGTCAAGAGGGCTGTAAAGTAAGTAATGGCGAGACACCGTGGTAACCCACAAGCTCACATCAGAATTTATAGCTAACTGCTCTTAATGCCAGAATAACGTTGGATATCCATTGATAAAAAAGTAATAATATTGACCACTTTCAAAAATGGCTGCCGGATTAATATTCTTTTGTTTAAATTTAAATTAGCCTTTCTGGCCTCGCTTGAGATAATGTAGTCTTTTGAATTTTGTACTGGAGAACGAGGCCAGAAAGGCTAATTTAAATTTAAACAAGAGAATATTAATCCGGCAGCCATTTATGAAAGTGGTCTATTAAACCAAACAAAACGAAAGAAAAGAGGGTTAAAACAGAATAGGGCTGTTGATATAGAGTTCCAACTTTTAAACTGATTTTTAAACGAGCAGGCCATTTTCGGCATATTAGAAATTCAAACTTGACTCCGAGGCTTGGGGGAGTGAAACAAAAGAAATCACATCGCGGTGGAGGGATGAATAATTCATTTCTTTTGTCTTTTTTCCCCAAGCCTCGGAGCCATGTCAGAATTTTAATAAATCGAAAAGCGTTTAACACTACAAAAATTAAATTATCACAGTTAAATAATTTATTCAGTATTTTCTTGTTTCCTTTTTTTATCTTTGAAATTTCGACAGAAAATGCACTGAACCGCCGTTGTTTATTTGAAATCATCCATAAACACCTTTTTATCAACCGTACTCTTTTACGTTTACCAGATTAAAAAAAAATTGCGCAGTGTTGTAAGATTAAGTCACCTCAGTGTACAGAATATTTTCTTTAATTTACGAGCACTAAAACAGAGACATCAGGACCTTCAAGATGTCTCTCAACGACGTCGCCAAGAAAGCGTTGATAAAAGTTTGATTTCTGTCTTTTGTGTGAAGTTCGAAACCGATGCCGTCTCAAACGAAGTCGAACCTCCCCTTCAGTATATCAGAAACGAAATAAACGTGCCATGGGAGCTCCCGCGTTCAAAGCGTGCGCCAGTAGTGGGTTTCGCAATGTTGTTTTGGATAGTTCAGCAGGGAATGTACCAAGTTTTAAAACGCACGCGCACAGCTTTCTTAAAGTCTTTATTTCTTTATTCGCGTAAAACAAAGAAATTGTCTTAAAATAGCCGTTAAAACAACGACTATAGCTGGCGAGAACAGGTGTTGATTGTCGGTTTGATGTGTTATTTCTCGGTTATTGGTGGAATACACATCGCATACTGTGCAAACAGTTGGCCAGGAAACACGTTTGAGAGAATGGGGAACTTCCCCACGATTTATACACTGAAAGGGACTCAAAAAATATTCAGAATCAGTCGAGGGAACAAACCTTTCCATAGTGAAAGAAAATTACTGATTGATTTTTGAATTTGCGGGAAGACATTTCTACAGTGGCCATTGTCAATAAACGACTGACTAAAAGGTGATAACGAAAGAGCAACTGGATTGAATTTCCAAACTGATTTTAACAGCAAAGTCATGAGTGAAGCTTTTATTTCCGCAAATTTATTTGACAATAGTAATTTCATCCAATAAATCAAGAAGGTTCGCGTCTTGAGACGCGAACCTTCTTAATAGATACGCAATAAGCCGTCGTTGCATGAACGTTAACAAATTCACGTTCGGCATTGGCCATCGATGGCTCTATTTAACTGTTTTGTCTTATTTTTAAAGATTAGTCCGTCACTCTTTTCTATCCATTAACTGCCATTCCGTGCCATGTACTGTCTCGTGATTAAATACATCATATGTCCCTTAAATAATCTAAAAATGTCAAATTGGTTTTCCCGTATTTTTGGTGGCCAATCGATTAGTTGCGAAAAGTTTCCCACTTAAATCTGTATCCGCATTGCGTTTTCAGTCTCACGTCTTACGAGCACAGAAGATTTTTTTCTTGTGTTTGCTGAAGCAGATTGAAGATCTTCCTATTATGAGTATTCTCAAAGATTTAGTTATGTAATAATTTCCCACAATATGTTACACGGCACTGTTCGCTCGTCATCCATAGAGCTTGTTAAGTGCTAAGAAAACTCTAATATCGATAATTTTTCCGTATCTTGTGGTTAGTCAATTCCCGAGCAGAATGGGCTTGGTTTTACCTCTGGAAAGGGTACACCTGCCTGTTGCAAATTATATTCTTCGAAACTGTTGAAAGTGTATTTAAATCCTTGTTGGCCGATATTGATGTCTGGTATCGCTACCTGTCGGAAATTCGTGCCAAAATTCGACCACAAATTTCAACAGTTTTTTTATAAAATTCTAAAAGAAGTAAAATCCATCTATTTATTTGAGATTTTGCCCAACTATGATTCTCATTTTTTTTCTTTTGTTAGCCAAAGCTGCGAATCGATTGGACGCTCTTATTGGTTTAATTTCCTCTGATCGAGGGCGCCGTGGGGCTTTTTTTGTTTTCTTTACTTGTAAATTTGTAACCCTGGACATCGCGTGTAAAAAAAGGAGTGGCGAGAAATCCTTTGTTTCTTGCCCAACACTCGTTAACACCTGCAGCTCCCGGACATTTTCAACAATACCTTTAATTAAAATTCTTACAGCAGCAGGAGAGAGACGCAATTCGTAATTTATTTTGTACAAGCGGAACTTCTTCAAGTCGCTTAATAATGTATTTCTGGTACCTTAGATCTCACACCTTTCTTAAGTTTTGGCTCCTTCGCAGGAAATGTGGCGATTTTCCGATCAAAATTTTGCACCAGAAAGTTCGCTTAATGAGGCTATGTTAATAACCAGTGTGGATCAGCAGAACTTGGCAGTTTATTGCATCGAAGGCTATTTTGACAGCGATTGATTGACGACGACGTCTTTAAAATGTTGAGCAGCATTAGAAACGCATCGAAAATGTGCTGGAACTTGACATCTTTTATCCACTCAAGTGTTTGTAACGAAACGGACCAGACTCAAATTTCAGTACTTCCTGAACAACCCTCATTTGACAAGGTTTATCGACTGGTAACCACTATCCTGTTCAGTGCCATTCTTGTGGCAAGCCTGGTAGGGAACAGCCTCGTTGTTTTTACAATCCTTCGACAAAGAAGCATGAAAACTCCATGTAATTATTTTATCATGAATATTGCTCTTGCAGAGCTGGGTGTTGGGCTAATCGCGGCTCCCTTGCGTATTCTGGAAATATTTACCTCGTGGCCATTTGGGTATTTCATGTGCCGCTTTCTGTGGCCGATTCAAGATGTGTTTGTGTGCGTTTCCGTTCTCACGCATACCGCGATAGGCCTTGAGAGGTACAGGGCTATAGTCAAACCTTTTAATCTGAAAATATCTTTGCGGAAAACCAGAGTTAGCATTATTATTTTATGGTTAGGATGTTACGGCGCCAGCGGAATACCACAATCCTTTTTATTAGAATTGAGCGAAGTTATGCCAGGCCGTAGAATGTGCTTGCTTCAATGGCCGTCGCAGGTGTTCCGTCGTTGTTACATCGCCTATCTAGTCCTTGTCTTTATAATGGTACCATTGGCTGTTCAAACCTGTTGTTACATTAAGATCATCACTGTTTTGAATAGAAAAAGAGAATTTGGGGCATCTGCGCGCATCGTTTTCAAGAACAGCGACGAACATGAGAGACAGAAACAAAATAAAAGGCGTCTTATTCGAATGTTGCTCACGAGTTTGGTTGTCTTTCAATTGTGCTATCTTCCTCGTGGTACTTTGATGGTCGCTCTTGAATTCCAGCCGGTTGAAGTAATCAGGAGCAGTCAGACTATCGCCTATGCAGAATTAATTTTCCTGGTTCTGTACTACTGCAAACATGTTGTAAATCCTGTGATATTGTTTCTAATGAGCGCTGATTTTCGAAAGGCATTTGTAGCCGGTGTAACGGAGTGTGCCGGGAAACCAGATCATAGTCTCTTTAGTCAACGGGAAAGTATCGGCCCAGAATCGCTTCAAGAAACGTCAGTTTAGAACGAGTCATTCATCGATACTTTTAATTTTGTGTTCTTTCTTTTATGATAGTTAGTGGAAAATCACGAGAAATTCTAGATAGGAATTACGGTAAAATTTTTGCACCGGGGCCTGGCAATGTAAAGCACTTTAAGTTCAGTAGGGTCGAAGAATGAATGTCACCTTGCACTCCGATGTGAAAAATAGTCTAGAGGGAATGGTGGATAAAATTGGCATCTCTATTGATTTTTAGTACACAAATGGTCTCACGATTGTACATGTGAGTATTGCAAACTCTGCAGTGACGTTTTCGATTCGCACGCATTTATTAAGGAATATCTTTAGTAATTGATGGAGGACTTTTTCAAGAATTTTATTGGAGTGAGGCTTCTAAACTTTCCTTACGACTAACGGTTAAAACTTTTCAAATTTTACGCCCAACTCCTAAATTTTTTTGCCGTTTTAAGGCTAACGGTTAACCCCATTTAGACTCGCCTCTTTCACTGTGTTTGCATAGCTTTATATAAACACTCTGGGGAAAGGGGGGGAGGGGAGGGAGGCTAGGAGAATTTTTGAAAGTTGTACACCTGTCTTGCGTTCTGCCAATCTGCCAACCCCCTTTTGCTTGAACATTAAAATGAAGTATATAACAAATATGAATATGAATTTTTTTCGACATGTATTCCTCTTATCAAGAAACTGTGCAAACAATAGTATAGTTTTTTGGCCGCTAATTATGGAGTGAGGCAGTTTATAAAGCATCTTAGATTCTACAATGAAATACAGAAACAGTATATGAAATTAACATTTGAATCACTTAGTACCAGAGCCACTTGTACTATTGTATTAAATCCGCACATTTAAAATGTCTTTTTAAAAGTTTTCTATTATTTACTTCCAGTGATAGGTGACAGTTTAGGCGTGAAAACGTGTTGACAACACATAGAATCTTCCTAACTATAAATTGTGAAATCGAAAATTTGCAATTTATGAATAAACACTCTGTTATCGTGCTTTATAAATACTATTACTGTATTTCTCCAATTAAAGTTTTTTATTATTATTATTATTATTATTATTACTATTATTCAGGGACAATATAATTCTTAGCGCATCAACTTTTTGTAACCTAGTGTCACTATGCATATAGTCCCTTTTACAGTTGTGGGCGTGGTGGCCAAGCCTTTGAACAGGAGTGAGGCTAAGGGTGACCCTGTTGTGATAGAGACCTGTATCTATTTAGCATGATAACAAAGAAATTTGCATTTGAAAAGCAGCAACATCTCTATCATAAAAAGATCACCCTTAGCCTCACTCCTGTTCAAAGGCCTGGCCACCAAGCCCACAACTGTAAAAAAAAGGACCATTCTCCGTACTGTTCACTAGGCATTTCTGAAGGTGCTGACAAGGAGATTTTGTGTAACATTCAAGAGCTTCTTTAGTTGATGATCATTTCCTTTATTCTCGTAAATT